GCCTACCATCATGTATACAATGAGAGTCTCACAGGTGAGGAAGAGAAAGAGTAATGACATTTATTTAAAGAAATTATGGCAAATAAAATCCCACTGGTTATGCAATTATCTGAGTCCAGTGAGACAGAACACACTCACTTGCCACAAGTTATGTGAAGTAGGTTTATTACTTACAGATAGGCAAAGGGACGAAGAAGCCCAAGATCCACAGTGAGTTGGCTTGAGAAAGCTTCCCCAGAGCTGATGAAGCCTTGATTGTGCTTTCTCTACTTGTACCACAGTTGAGGGACCCTGAAAGATGACCACCCTGTGATATATACCTCATGGTCAATGTGACACATTGGTAAAAGCTTTGAAGTACATCCTGTTTCCAGGTGAGAAGGGAAAGTCCGGGCTGTTTCAAGCAGTTGTTTCCTATTTCAGGATATTGCATTCCCAGAACATTCTACAGTTGTTCTTGAGAACTACATGCAAGGAAGTAGGGGATGGCAGGGTCAGTCCAAGGCCACTCATAGAACCGTCCTGCACTCAGGAAGTAGTTCATTCCTAAATAATGTTACATAACATCCCTTCCTCATTATGTAGAAATAAAGTAAGTTTAAAAGTTCTCATAAATAACAAAAGCAGGGAAAAATTAGTATAAAATAAAACTACATTTTGGAAGATGAATAGATTTTAAAACCAAAATAAAGGCATTCGTTCATTCTGTAGAATACAGTAGAAAGACCTATTTGCTAGCATTCCACTCAGATTATTTTAATGTATTGCTATAGTATTACATTGTCGTGGTATCTGAAATGAATACATAATAGTGTTGGTTCTCTATGGTAAATTAAGAAAGGTATAGTGAGAGTGTTATTGTAATAACCTTCAAGGAGAAAAGATGAAGGCAGCAATATAATACATTAATGAATTATATTTATTATATGCTCAGTTGAGAATTTTATTTAAAAATCAGTACATTTTCCCCAATATGCACAATTGCCCAGAAATTAAGTATATCATGGAAGATTTTGCCATAGAAAGTTTTGCTGATATCAAATGGTTAAGTCCATCAACTGAGATACGACTGACCTCTGCTCTAATCTTATCACTTACTTGCTACATAATTTTAGGCAGCAGTCATGTCACATCCACATAAGAAGATAGTATTTCATGCATGTGCAATGGGAATTAAATGGATTACATCAGTGGTTATTATAGAAGCTGGCACATAGTAAATTCTCAGAAAATGACATCATCATCATCATTAGTACTTGTTCTTAACTTATCTCATGATTTAGATATCTAAATCTATAATTTAATTACCTGGATACCTGAAAAAAGATGAGAATGAAGACTTTAAATTCAATGATGTCTAGTCCAAATTAGTTTGTGCAACTGCTTAGATACACTTATGCATTTTTTTTCTGTTATGTGTCTCAGCTAGATTAATTTGTTTTAAATCTATAATATATATCATTTGTCTACTGAGGGTAGAGGGGTCTATAAGATCCTGCACATAGAAAGACTTCATCCTTACCTAGAATGATTCACTTTCTAAAGGCAGGGGGAGTTGTGTCAAATAATGAACCCCAAATCACAACAGAACTCAATAGGTTTGTGAGAGAGGTAAGCAGTGAGCTCAACTTCCTTCAGGAAGTGAATGTCTAAAGAAGTGCTATAGGTGTTTTATTCATAAAGACATGGAGATAAATAAAATGGTGTTTTCAGGGCAAGGCAAAAAATCAAATGGTTAGAGTGAACTAACTATCGGATATGTAAAAGAATGGTGAAAACTGATGCAGAAGATGTTCTTAGATCCCACACCATATGGGATAAAGTTACAGAGTAAAAGACTTTAAGCTTGAGAGTGATGTGGTTATATTTACATTTAGAGAAATCTCTATGGTCACAGTCTACAGGATAGTAAGCCCGGAGATAGCCTTCCAGTTATGCATGCAAGCATTGATCCATTTATCCATCATTATATGTATGTAAATCATATGTTTTTAACATCTTATATGTGTAGATCAATGTAAAACATGATGAAAATACAACCAAAAATAAACATTCATTCTCTCCTTATGTATCATTCTTTTTTCTCCTTCTCTCCCTCTCTGTCTCTCGCTGAGACTGAGAAGTGTCAAAGACTGAAAGTAAACAATGCGATAATAAAATAATATAGTAGATAATATAGAAAATTGTACAGAAAATTATGATGGTTTTAAATAGATCTCTGATAGCAGTATTAGACAGACATGGATACATTGGAGAAGTATATTGGAGAAAGAATTTTTGGGACATGGAGTCAGATGGGAAGGAATAAGCCAGACTTAATCAACTTCATATTGTATGATTCTGATTCTATTTATATGAAATGTCTAGAATAGGAAAATCCATAGAGACAGAGGGTAGATTAGTCATTTCCATTTTCTGGGGAGAGGAAATGCAGTGTGACTGCTAATTGGAGTGAAATTTTTGGGGGAGTGGTCATTAAATGTCCTAAATAGAGGGTGGTGATGAATGCTCAGCCCTGTGATTATACTAAAAATCACTGTGTTGCATATTTTTAAAAAGGTACATTTTATGATATATGAATTATATTTCAAATGAGAAGTTCTAAAAAGTAGAATTCTTAAATATTGTTATTGTTTGAATATAGCATTTTAAGAACAATTCAATCGTTATATGTCTGTTGATTTTTCAGCAATGTCACCAAATAGTTTTTAAGGAAAATTTCTGGAGCATTAATATTGTCCTATCCCAAGTTGTTTTTTTCAAAGGGATGTCTTCGAAAGAACTTACAGCCTTTTATGAATTATTCTTATAGACATATTTTGTTTGGTTTAAGAAGACTATAAATATATAAATCCTGAAAGCTAGGCTTAAAGTCAGATGGTAGTAAAATCTACACTATTTTTTTATTGTTGTACAAATACCTTAAGCCATTCTATTGTAGTCTATGCAGTGATATTTTATCTGTGATATAAGGTAATATCTACCCAGAGCTTAGCTTTGCAAAGCTCTGGGTAGTCCTTCAAACCACTATATATTCTATGAACAAATCTTTTATTAAAAGATTTATGCTAATAATACTGAGTTTTAAGTTTTGTCTGAGTTTTCTTCCAAAATTGAAGAAGAGATTTAGAATTTTCACTAACCAAAAAAAAACACCTATTTTCAAAGAAAGTGGTATTTTTGCTTATATGCTTCAGTAACTTTAAATAAAGGCAGTGGGGAATTTAAAATGCTATGGAAAAAAGCTCAGCAAGAAATAATAATAAAAGACTAGCCATATGAAAGCTTTGTAACAGAAGCCAGTGGGATGTAATTATTACCAACATTATTATGGTAGGAGGGTTATGTTAAAGAGTGGTGACATTATATTGTAGGAAAGTCAATGAAGCCACAGGATCACAAATCATTAGGAAAAAAAATATCATTTGCACTTGTTATTCTTTATGTATGAAGCACTGAAAATAAACTTTTAATCTGCTTATTTCACAGGTGCTAGTTTTGTATTTGTATAATATTTATACCCTTAATTTTTCATAAAAAGATTAAAAACTTTAAAATGTATGTGAAATCTTTATTTCTTTCAATATTGTGTGATATCTTTGTTTTAAAAAGGAGAAAATGCAGAGTTGCATCCTTATTCCTAGAAGCAGCTAAAATTTAAGATTTTTTAAAAAAGATAGAGAAATTATATACCTACCCTGATTTTGGAATTGAGAAACAGGATGTAAATTCAGAATAATCACATAATTAAAAATGGACCCAAGTATTTTTAACTACTATGAGAATTATCCTTTCACTATCAACATACAAAAATAGAACAATATATGTGAAATGATGCAACAGTAGTTTACTGTAATTGGGTAACAGTTAGTGAATCCTGAATGGAAAAGGAACAAAGGAGGAAAGTCTTGCATTTTCTCTAGCTTACTGCCTGAGGTGCTTTTGTAGCTATAGAGAAAAAAGAATGGAGAAAGATGAACAGAGACTCAAAGACCTGTGGGACAGCTTCAAGCTTACCAACACACATGCCATGCCCTGGGAAACCAAGGACAGGAGAAATAGAAATAGGTTCAGCAAAATATTTCTTAAAAATATAATGGCTAAAATGACTCTAGTTTTGATGAAAAATATTACCCTACACATCTAAAGTTCAAGTTTATGCACATTATCATAATTAGAATTATTTTAGTATTAATCTGCAATAAATTGCTTGATAGGCTTCTTTTTTTTGATGTTTGGTTGCTGATAGCTTTTAAGCCTCATCTTTCCTCCTTCCTTTTCTACCTCACCTCTGAGCTAGCTCATAAGAAAGCCTGAGTTGATGCCAGTTAGCAGGAGATTGAAGCCACGCAAGTCCCTTCCTGAACCCCAGAACTCTTTCACCTATAAGTGCAATGAAAGCCTTAAGCTAGTTCTCTTTGCTCTAGCATGCCAATTTTTACCATCTTGGGAGGCCTGTTCTGTTCTTCCCAGAAAGCTTCAATTGCTCACACGGTAATAATATTCCTTAAGGGTTTGGGGCTTGAGGGTAGGTAAACTCACAACTAATGGACTTGGTGAGTGTTGTAGGGGGGAAAGGACATGCCTCAAATCATGGTTTGTTTGGATGTGGCAAAGTCATAACATGTAACCAAAATGTTTGTACCCCCATAATATCCTGAAATAAAAAAAATAAAAAATAAAAAAGCTTCAATTACATACGTGATAAACCTTTACATACCTCTTGGTGAGTGTATGGTATCATCAGTTTCAAAACCTTAAGCAACTTTGGGGCATGCGTCCAAATTGCCTTTGCAGAATAGTCACAATGACTGTGATGTTTTAAGATACACAGTCATCCCTCTGTGTCTGTGGATTTTGCGTCCATTGATTCAACCCATTGCCAATAGAAAATGCAGTATCTGTAAAATGCAAAACACACAGATATGAAAAGTCCCGAAATAAAGCACCTGTGGATACTGAGGGACAACTGCATAATAGAACTTCTCATTTTACGCAACATGGAGTAAAAGGGACCCACCTGAATCAAGAAGAGATAAAAACAGACAAAAACATGTAAAACCAATATGTTATCTAAATTAAAAACTACAATAATAAGATGCCAAAGTCTTCACTGAAGTGAAAAGAATGAATGAAAATATAATTCACAGACTTTGAAGTAAATTTTTTAAAGCACACATCTGGTAAAGGACTTGTATATAAAATATAAAGAATTTTCAAAAATCAATAAGAAAGCAAAACACCTACTTAAAAATGGGCAAGACATTTGAATATACACTTCACCAAGGAAGATGTATTGATGGCAAATTAGAACATAAAAACTGTTCAACAGTATTAGTCATTAGGGAAAGGAATATTAAACCACAATGAGATGCAACTACATAACTTACTAAAAAATAGATAATATTAAAAAAGATTGATCATACCAATGTTGCAGAGTATTTGGAGAAATTAAGACTCTCATACACTGCTCATGGGAAGGTAAAATGGCACACCTTGATTGGAAAACAGTTTAGAAGTTTCTTTAAGATTATACATATCTATACCATATGATCCAACAATTCCACTCCTAGCATGGAATTAATCAAATAAAGAAGAAAACATATGTCCATTCAAACAATTGTGTACAAATATTCATCGTGCTTTATTTGTAACAGCCATAAACTGAAAATCTAAATGTCCACAAATAGGTTAATAAAGAAATTGTGTTATATCTTTATTATGAATAGAAATCTGGCTGAGAAATACAAAGAATGAACTATTAATAGAAGCAGTAACATGGATGATTCTGCAAATAAATTTGCTACATGAGAGAAAACAGCCAAAAAGATAGGTATATACTGTATGAAACCATGCATATGAAACACTAGAAAATGCAAGCAAATCCATCATGACAGAAGGCACATCAATAGTGACTTGGCGAAGTGGATTGGGAAGGTCAAGATAGAGGTATTACAAACAGAAATTAGAAACCATTTAGGGGTGGTGTGTATTATTAACACCTTTATTGTGGTGTTGATCTCATGGTTACATATATATATGTATATATATATAAACTTATCAAATCATACACATAAAAAGGGTAGTTTATGTCAACTATAACTTAATAGTGTTATTGTAAACATATATATAAACATATAATTTGCATGTTCTATTATATATGATGGACACACACACATAATAATCCCTAGAGAACACACACACACATAGTAATCCCTAGAGAACTACTAAAATATTACAGCAAAAGTAGATAAAATGTAAACAGAAGAATGACTAAAGTCAATTATTTAACACAAGATAAGGTAATTATGGAGGAACATACAAAACAACAAAAAAGATGGGTATATGGAACAAGGTACAAAATGAGAGATGCAGTTCTAACCCTATAAATATTACATTAAATGTAAGTGGTCTAAATACCTCAATCAAAAGGCAGAGATTGTTAGACTGCATAAAAAATTTAAGAATCAACCATATACTTTCTAAAAGAGACATGCTTTTAGTTAAAAAACATCAATAAGTTGAAAGTAACCATAAAAGAGCTGAAGGGCCTGTATTATGTTTAACAGTATATACTTCAACCAATAAATAATACTAGAGACCAAGAGAGACATCTATAATGACAAAGTAGTTAGGAGATCATGAATATTTAACAATTATTAATATATAGTCACTTAAGAAGAAAGCCTTGAAATACATGAAGAAAAACCTGACAGAATTGAAAGATAGTAGTTCATCAATATTTAATTTTATGTTTAAATGTTCTACTCTCAATATTTGATAGAATAATTGAACAGGAAATCACCAAGGACATAGAAAACTTGACAACACTGTCAACCAACTTGACCTTACATATGTAGAATAATCCATCCAATGATTATAGAATATACATACTTTCAAGCACACATTTTTTCAAGCAAACACATGAGATAGATCATATCCTAAGCCATAGAAGAAGACAGAATAAATTTTTAAAAATTGGAATTAGAAATAAAGTATTTTCTATAGCCATAAATAAATTAAATTAGGAACAAACAACAGAAAGATACCTGGGAAATTCAAAATAATAATATATTAAACAACAAACTTTTAAAGAAATCGTGAGTCATAGAAAAAGTCACAAGGCAAACTAGAAAATATTTTAACTGGGAGATGAGCTAAGGATCTTGAATGAAGAAACAATTGAAAAAACTAAACAAAAATTCTCTTCTAGTACAGCTAAACAAAAGGCAATTATATATTTCTTTCTCTGTCACTAAATTCACCACTGGTCTTTGTTATCATATTAATAATAGTAGCATTACTGAAAATCCATTATTATGAAGTTCTCACTTTAAATTTACAGAAGAATGTTGTTTTACATACAAAAATAATTTTCTTTTCTAAGAAGGTCTCATTAGATAGCAAGTTTTTGATGGATTTAAATATTTGTTTGTAGATTATCTAGTGTTTGCCAACGAAGCTAGGTGCAGCAAACTCCTGGGTGATTGCTCAGAGTCTTCCAGCAGAAAGAGAGAGATAAACACTTGGGAACAAGTGATTAAACAGGTGATATTGATAGTGGGTCGACATGTTCGTTTGCTAAAGCCCAGCAGTGAATGCCATGCTGCCACTTCTTCACTTTGCTTCTGTTGGGCAATATTTGACTCTTATTGTAGGTTTCACATTTTATTTTTGAAGACTGACTAACATGGATAGAAAACCTGAGAAGCAAATTTTATGAACAATTTGAGAACCAGGCAAAAGTATATTGTGACCTTGTATAGATTTTAAAAAGAGGATAAATATACAGAAGAACTGAAGAAATAATCTGAGGCTTCTACTGAAATGCAGAGTAAGTTTTTTTCCATAAACCTGCCAAAGGGAAGATTTAATTGTTTACCTGACTTGTAATATCCATATAATAATTTTGTGAAAAATATATACTTTTAAGATATGTAAATGCAAATATTTCAATCCATTCATTCATTTTCACAGCCATCAATATTCATTGAAAAGCTGTTTTGTGATAAACACTCTTCTAAGAACTGGAATTACAAAGTTGCAAACCTGATGCAACTTAGAGTTTAGCAATTTATCATTAATATTTAAAGCTTTGAAAGCAAGAATTAAAATGACCCAACTCTCTCCATATTATGTGCTTCATACACCTCTTGATGCTACTCATAGTTCGAGTTGTAGCCATAAGAGAAAATGGTGGCTATTTACAGTGACAGATGAATTTAGTTTCTATTAACCTTTACCATTAAGGAGGTCTTAATTTTCTGAAGATTCTAAGTTTCTTCATTCTCTCACTGCGACCTTCTGGTTTCTGTAGTCCTGATTTTAAGTTCTCTCATTTTGAATGTTCAGGAGTATAATAAGTTTGAGTATCTTAATCCACTCCCCATCTGACGACATAAAGATTCATCAAAACAATGTTTTTCCAAGTCATGTGGGTTTTTTAAATTATAATAATTAAATATTTTGAGCTTAGAGAAAATCTTTTATTCTAGGAATTCTAAACAGATTTGATTGTCCAATATACATGCTATAACCAGAAACAATATGTATGGCAGGCAATATGAGTAAGCAGATTCAATTCCTCATAGCACTCTTGACTACTACTTAATTATGTAGCAAACCAAACCTAGAAATGTGTCCAAAATTGTAAGGCACATTCTATGTGAGAATTCTTTGCTGAGAATAAAAGCAATCATTTGATGGGGTTTTTGAAGTCAATTATGGCTAACATTGCTTTTTTAATTATTGTTGTTTGTGATTATTTTTCCATATTTAGTTTTTTAACGAGTTTCATATTATACTAAAACAGTATTTCCTTAAGAAACCTCAAATTAGAAAATAGATAAAATCTAAGGAATGTTCACATAAAAAAATTATTATTTTCCTCAATGAAACATCCCACTAGGAAGCTCTTCCCAGGTTCAAAAATGTTATTGTTTAACTTTGACTTCTGTTTTGTACAAAATGCTGAAAATGAGGAACAAATATATCATTCTTACAACATGCAAAGAGTTGGAGAAACAACTGGAAGAAAAATTTGATATCAATAGTATTCAAGTACTTTTTCCAGCCAAAGTCTTTGTCAATTTTCTCAAGAACAGAATCTTATATAATGTATAAAATTCAGCCACAAAACAGAAGCCCACATATGTTTCAATTAGGTATATAGAAGCCCAACTATATTTGAATATATCCAGTGAGAGCTCTCCTATGACTTATTTTCCAAGATGTTTTTGCATTAATTTTCATTTTTTAGCTCTCTTTCACATAGTTTTATCTGAAAACATGGGAGGAAACTGTGATGAAAGAAAAGCAAACCTTCTTGCAAATTCTTCTAGGCTTTATATATTTCACTGTGGGCCTGAATACATAATAATTGGTAGTTTCTGTAAATACCTACATTAATCATATACCATGTACCTGACAATTTATGGATTGAAATAGCACTTTTCATTTATTTTATCAGCTTGTCTGAAACTTGAAATTCTAATTGGTTTTCAGAATTGTACAACCACTGATTTTGAAGATCATTTCCCAAAAGGAAAGGTGCAGTGGTTGTTGAATATTGTAAAATAATTATAACCAGCAAAATTAGACATCTTATTTGCATATAGCTCTGGATTACATGTGGTCTTTATATATGTACAGGAAGAAATCCCTCTTTATTTCTTCTGCATATTTTGGAACTATACTATTTTACCCCTGAGAATCTGCTAGATCATTCCTTTCAGTCTAATGCTTAGATTGGGTATCAACCCAAACACACAGACATAAAAGAGTTGAATTCATAAGAAACACCTCAATAAAAGTAGTATAAATATAGGCCAATATAATTAACTATTGCTAGTAGTGTTAAGATAATAGCTTCTTCTGGCAGTCCCTCTCTAGACTTTTGGTTCTTGTGGGTCTTCAGGGAAACTTATATTAGCACTAAATTACATCAGAATGAAAAAAAAAAAAACAAACAAACAATAGTGCAATAGACTTATGCATTTCTCTTCA